TTCTTTAAATTTATTATAAATATTCTTTGAGTTAATGGCAAATTCTAAATTCGTCTTGCATATATTCATAGTATTCAAATATTAATTTATATAAAAAATTGTTTGAATTTTTTTTGTAAGATAAATGTATGTAACATAATAATATCCACTTAATCTAAGTTTTTCTATTTTTTTTTCAATTTTTTTTGATTTATTTTACCTTTTTTTTAAAATAAAAAAACTACTTGACATGGTTAAAACGGTTAACCGCCCCGGTTAGTCCGGTTCCGGTTCAAACCGCTCCCGGCCCCAAAACCGGTTAACAGTTCCGGTTCGATTTTGCGAGCATTGCTTGGTGTTAAAGGGTACATAGAAGCCTAAGAGAACTTCTCTGGAAGTAATAGTGATTCGTGATCTTAAAGATAATTGGTCATTTTAATGATTTACAAATCTTTAACAAAGACTATTCACTGAAAAAGCTGCACGATTTTAGAGAAGTGGAACTATTTTTGTGCTTCAAATAGGTCAAATCAAGTGATACCCATCCCAACATCCAAATTATGATCTGCTTGAATAATGTTCAGGCTAGAAAAAGGAAAAGATCTCACCTTTCACTGTTTTTCCAAGAATTCCATCCTACATCGGCAACAACATCTGTCATATTGCAATGGGAATATATGACCCTGGAAAATGCACGCCAAGCTCTGCCTAAATAAACTCGACCTGTGCCAAACACTTCACAGTATTTGAAGACGTAACCGCTAGGGTCTCCATCTGATTCTCTTCCATTAGCAGTTATTGCACCATTAATTACTTGATTTGGTCTCGCATTTACTTGCAGTATACAATTCTGCATTGCGAGAACGATTAAGTTGGTAACAAGTCAAGCAATGAACCATTTGGTTTTGGTTCCAATTATTTTGAAAGGGAAAATTTAACTAAAAATGATGTAACCAAAATCATTGAGCCGAAATATTGTTTCTCAAACAAATAGCTATCTGTCAGTCCCTCGTATATTTAGCAACTGAAAATGCAACAATATCGGTTCTTTTGGATAAATTATCTCAAATTGCAATTTTGCATCTCATCTTACATACCAAAAGGAGTGAAAAAAATTCAATGATAGCAGCAGTGTATGCCATACCTCATACAGGGACTGAGCACCTCCAAAGATGAAATCTATTGCACCTTCAATGTAACACTGACTGAAGTAATGCCTCCCTCGAAAGTCGGCCAATGTGTCTTGCCCGCTTGAAAACCCGCATTCATAAAATGCATATCTATCACCGTACAATAGTGCTGCAACTGCACGCTTCATCCCTTTCTTTATATCATAAGCATTCTACAAAATAAAAAAGAGAAATTAGTAGCTGCTATACGTGCTCTGAAATAAAATGTGTAAGAGAGTAAAGATAAGCTTTCAAATTTAAAAAAGGATTTAAAAAATATCCGCCTTCTTTTTACTTATTTGCACTCTGTGTTGTTCTGTAAATACAAACTGATTCATTGACTCTGTAAATCGATAATCCTTTGGGGTAATCTTCATCCATTGAATGATGGACCAGAATTGAGAAAGAGTGGAGTGGGACCCAGTAGAACAGGACAAGGGCCCCAATCTCTATCGCGATCCATCATATCTCATTCGATGGTGATGATCCCAATCGACGATGGTGTTTGACACTGCATTGGGTAGGAGTAGCCAAGAATTGGACCATATAATCTCCAAAATGCACTGTAGGAGATCGATTAAAGCTTGCTGATTTCAATAAAATGTAGCATGGAATTGGCACTACCACAAAGGCTATTTTTCTCGCTACAAAGTCATCGGCTCCAGAAGTGAAAGTAGCAGTTCCTGCCGTGCCTCCGTCATTACTGAAATCATCACTTAGAGTATCAAGACTATCCTTCCAAGAAATTATCGTTCGGGTCCTTCCTTTTCCTTCCAAAACAATGCAATTTTGGGTATAATTGATATTCACCTTTTCACTGCAACAATACAATAAGACAAGTCAAATGCATCAAACTATGAAAAATTTATTCAATTTTGATGACAATACTACAAATGATAATATTGCAATCAGAACATTCGCAACTTTGCAAAACACAAAATAGCCACAAGATGTCCTGGCTCAGTTCACTTGGGTTTGGGATGGTTCATTACTAGTACGTCCCAGACGTCACATGAATACGAATCCATTGTGTGTTACCAGCAGGAACAGTATTGATAGCGGCTTGAATGGATTTGAAGTCTCCACCCCCTCTCCAATCAACATAAACGGTCTTTGCAACATTATTATTAACCAGTTGACATGATCCATCACCTATACTATAAGTTCCTAAACAAGAAAGAAGGGAGAAGGCAGCAAAGAAGCAAAAAAACTGAAAGAAAATCTTCATCTCAATGAATATTCAATCCAAAGGCCTGGTGTAAGGTGCTCATCTTCTTTTGAAAATCAGTAGACTACAAGTATAATTTGTCCTATATTTACCACTTTAAAATGCAGAAGTAGCTAAAGAAAAAAACTCGGTTTCATGAATAAATTCCAAAATCTTCAACAGAAGGCTAGAAAAGAAAAACCCCAAGAAAAAAAAGAGAAAATTCTACCCGGTCTTGCATGAATGCTAAAAACAAGCTAGATATTGAAATAAAAGAAATTCAAGGATGAGCAATTCACCCAAAAAACACCAGTTTTCCTACAAAATTCAATTCAGACAACAGAAAATTCTGATAAATATTTGATTTCCCCATGAGTTTTTCAATTACTTGAAAGGTGATCGAAAGCACAATTTACCTTGCACCAGCGAGCAAATAAGGCAAGCTTCTATACAGGTTCAATGGAAGGCCAATAATGGAAGGTTAGATGATGATGACGATGATGTCACAGTTTACGTCGAACCAGCGAGCTAATAAGGCAAGGTTACACACAGGTTCAATGGATGGCCAATAATGGAAGGTTAGATGATGAAGACGATAATGGCACAACGTTGAACCAGCGAGCAAATAAGGCAAGCTTAAATACAGGTTCAATGGAAGGGCAATAATGGAAGGTTAGATGATTATGATGATGGTGATGATAATAAAAACAAGAACCATATTTATCTCAAAAAAGAGATAATTACCGAGAGAACCAGAGAAGGGAAAAATAAATACCTAAACATTAATTGCTCCATGTATAATATAGCAAAAAAGTCCCTGGTTCATAGATTTCATAATTTCCTTGTTTGGTGAGCTGGGAGCTTTAATCCATGAAGTTAACCGTCTGCATTTCATAGAAGAAATAGTAAAAATGTGATCCTTCCATGGCCAAAAATCGTATTTTGGACCTAAAAATAAGAATTGGCGTCTTCTGCAATGGAGGTCATTGAAGAAGATGATACAGCCATGACTTAGAAACCCTAATTTTGAACCTATAGATAAGGTTCATATATTTCGTAATCTTGTCTGGCATTTCATGGAAGTCAACGTCTGCATTTCATGGAAGAACTAGTAAAAATGTGATCCTTCCATGGCAAAAAATCTTATTTTGGGCCTAAAAATAAGAATTGGCGTGCTTTCCAATGGAGGTCAATTGAAGAACATGATATAGACATGGCTGAGAAATCCTAACTTTGACCCTAGAAATAAGTCTCTGCTAATTTTGGGGCTAAAAATAGTACTATGCGTGCTTGCCCATCCGAAAAAATAGAAGAACTATGCTCTTGCTTTAAAACCCTAATTTTTTTGCATAGAAAGAAGGCACTGCACTTTCTCAATAAAAGAACTAGACCGTAATTAACAGTCAGCAAGGTTCACCGTATGGTGTCCTGCATAACGGTTGCGTTCCATGGACCGTCCATTTAACTCCCGCCATCTGATACAAATCAAAATGGACGGTTCTGATGTTATATTGACAAGCTTACCCTCCAAGCTCAATAGAAAAGAGTTGTTGTACCTTGCAGTTGAAAGTAGCTCCTTTCGGGAGATAAAGTGGAGTTTGATCGAAATGATATTCTTAGCTAAATGTAAAATAAAAAAATATTTTTTTTTTCAAAAATTTCGCTTTGGCAAAAGAAAAAGAAAAAAGAAATTGGTTTTTCGTCTTTACCCTAATTATAATGAAATAATTAATCAAATTCTAGTTGAATCTAACTATAATTTCATCATAATGAAATAGTTAATTGCATTCTAATAGAAAATAAATAATTAAAAATATAAATATACATAAAAATTAAATAGAAATTCAATTAAATAGAAATTTAATGACAAATAAAATTTTTAATTATCTTTGTTCAAGGAGTTTACAATTGATTAAATGTCAAATTGGATGGCTTGGGTGTGTCACAAAGTTTACGAATTTTTTTTTGAAGTTTGTCTAGTCAATGACATACTGACAATTGATTTGAAATTTGATGAATGGGAGTAATTATGACCTGCCATTTATTAGTTTATATAAGTTTGCAACCTTAAAATGTAGAATTAAAGGTGCACCTAAAAATTCCATCATAATAGGTAGTTTGGATGTTGGAAAAAATTTAATTGTTCGTCTCGACATCGAGATGTATGAACATGAAAAAGAAAAAAAGATTTCGAGTATGCAAAATAGTATATCTTGCAACCCATTATCCAAACTGTCTATTTTCAAGATTTCTATGTGTTTATAAATATACTTGGTATCGACAATTTTTAGAATTTAAAATTTTATAATTAGAGATAAAAATATATCGTCAAGCCATTCTAAGAATTTGTTCTAGCAAAATTACATTTATAATAAAATTTAGAGGTGTGCCTTAATTGGATTAAGTAAAGTTGCAATCATATGCAAATCACAGCCTTTACTAATTCAATGTTCTATAGTTCATAGAAATTTATTGATTTTTTGACTAATTTGTTTATTCAAGTTAGCAATATATCTACGTTTCATGTGACATGTTGAAATGTATCAAAATGTCTTAACACTATCATGAACGGACCCAACAATGGAATATAAAAAGATTCCTAGAACAATCACCCATTAGTTGAGAAGAGAAATGGATTGTCTTTTCTAATTTATTCGATGCAAACTTTTTACACTTCCTTTACAACATAGAACTTTTATAATTCCCCTTATCCAACCATCCATTACGATAGTGGGCTACGATTGTTTGATTTTTAATGTTTTTTATACATATTATTTTGACACTAAATTGTGTACGTCTAATCCTCTATTAAACTCTTTGCACTAGTAAAAAATATTAAAAAAAAATACTTTCAATAAAATAAAATGATCAAAATACATTTGAAATTTTTGAGAGGTATTTTAGTAATTATATTTTATGTTAATATTTTTTATAGGTACGCCCCAATGAGAAGATGGCATGTACCAAATTTCATATTCATAAAATTTGCATTAAAAAAATTAAAAATAAAATACTTTGAGATGTTGGATTTAGGATCAAATGATGAGTGGCTCTCTTGATCAAAATTAAATGGCTGGATGGTAGGGAAAGCACAGATCTTCTTTGTTATAGGAGAAATATAGAATCATTTCCTATTTATTTGCCCGATTGTTAATAATAGAATGTTTGACATATATTTCAAATAAGAGAAAATATCTCCATATCTTTTATTTTTAAATTTCATTTCTCCATAAACCCAAGATTTTAAAACTTATCTTCCAACCCCCTAACTGACTTTATCCACTTTAAATATTTTTTTAACCCAAATGAATATGAAAAAGACGTGTTCTTTAAACCCTATGCTCTTTCTCTCCATATTCTCCAAACTACTCTCTTTATCTCTCGCCACTTTGTCCGAACCCCTGCTCTCTCTCTCTCTACGAATTTTCCTTCATTCTCTCTCTCTCCCATGAGTGCATCATCAATGGAAGAACTATCAGCTGCTCATACAATAAAAACAACTAAGAAGTGAAAAATTTTATGTTTTTTGCTTAAAAGGATTGAGAAATTTTAGATTTTAGTACCTTTTTACATTTTTCTTCTCTCTCTCTGCCTTTTACAGTCTCCCCTCAGGGTTTAGCCCAACCATTTTCCCTTTATTTTTTTGGGTTATATTTCCTTCCTCTCTCTAGGTTTTGAACCCCTCCCTCCTTTTCCCTCTCTCTCTCTAGTTTTCTAGTTAAAACGTTCTCTGTTAATGGGGACTGTGACAAAGAGAACGACTTAGAAAGCATGGCCTCCACCTCTGAAACTTTCATGGTGGTTTTTATCATAGTTGACATAGTGAGCCTGGAAGACTACATGGGCAAGGCAGAGAAATGGTGGGTTCAGTGAGAGAACCCCTCAACCCATATGATCAAAATGCCATTAAAGTCCTCAACATGAGAGGACAACAGGTGGGTTACATAGAGAAGGACTCTGCAAAAGTTCTCTCTCTTCTCGTCGATGAATCTTTTATCACCGTTGAAGGCCCCAACGACATGCCTAAGCCTCTAGCATTTTTTCCTGAAACTAGTTCTTTTAGCCCCATAAGCTTCAGGGCCACTGGTTTCTTTTCAAAACTCCACACCTCCAAAACACAGAGCTGCAGTTTAGGAGATTAGGGAGAGAGAAACCCTAACTTCAGGTTTACGGTGTAATAAAACTTAAAAATATGGTCTATGGAGATATTTTTCCTGCAAATAAATCCATATTATGTATTAAATTTTTTTGGGATGTTTAGTTGTCCATCATCGTGGTGCGAATCATTGGCTTTTATTTGATTTGATCATAATAGTAGGAAATAAAACTATCATACAAATAGATTTACAGATATTTGCAAACCAACCATGGAAATTCATGCTATTAATTTCTCCTTGTCGAGTCCTAATAAATAAGGCTCTAATACATACATAGAATTTTAAATATAATATCTTAATTGTTTTAGTTTTTATTTTCATGTTAAATAGTAAAAAGGTACCTTTTTGTTTATGGTTTTTAATCACAAGTTTAGTTTGCCCATATCTCTTTGTCTTAGTTATGGATGACCTAACTAAGCACCAACAAGAATGAGGTATATGTTGTTTGTAAATAACATAGTTTTGATTTATGAGACCTGAAGCGGTGTCAACATAGTTTTCATTCATGAGACCCGAAGCAGTGTCAACACAAAGTTAAAACTTTAGAGGGATGTTCTAGAATCTAAAAATTTTAAAATTAGCTGAACCTAGATAGAGTATATGGAATATAAGTTTAGTAATAGGAGTCAAGCCGATAGATAGTTAAGTTAACAACTAATTAAAAGAAAGACCTTTGTGATCTTTTACCGGGGAATACATTTTTTTTTTTTCCACCCCTTTCTTTTGGCAAAAGATCACTTACAGGTGGTCTTTATTATAATAATAAAAAATTCAAAATAAAATCAACATAACAATAAAACCAAAATTTTAACACCTTGATGCCATTGAAACAGCTATGCACTATGCTTGAGAATAAAAGATAAG